CAAATGAAGATTTATCTAAAGGTTTTGTGAATATATCGGCTAATTGATTTTTAGAATCAATAAATTGAATATTCACATCACCGTTCTGAATATGATCTCTTATGAAGTGGTGCTTGATTTCAATGTGCTTGGCTTGTGAATGAAGAATTGGATTCTTGGTCAGGTTGATAGCACTTGTGTTGTCACATTTGATTGCAACACTGGATTCTTCTATTCCAAAATCTCGTAATTGTTGCTTCATCCACAGAATCTGAGCGCAGCAGCTTCCCAAAGCTACATATTCTGCTTCTGCTGTAGATAGTGCAACTGTGCTTTGTTTCTTTGAGTACCAGGACACCAATATATTTCCAAGTAATTGGCATGTTCTTATAGTACTTTTCCTATCCACTTTACAGCAAGCTAGATCAGCATCAGAATAACTAATAAGAGTAAAATCTGATCTTTTTGAATACCATAGACCTAGCATTGGATAAGTTCCAATGTATTTGATTATCCTTTTTACTACTGTGAGATGTGATTCCTTTGGGTAAGATTGAAATCTAGCACCCATACAGACACTAAATAGCATGTAAGGTCGAGAAGCAGTAAGATATAGCAATGATCCTATCATACTTCTATACATCTTTTGATCAATTTGTTTACCACTCTCATCTGTGTCCAATTTGGGCAAATGAGACATTGAAATGTCTGTTTTCTTGCAGTTCTGCAGTCCAAACTTCTTCACAATCTCCTTTGCATACTTTTCTTGGCAAATGAAAATTCCATACTTGGTCTGTTTCACTTGTAATCTAAGAAAAAATGTCAATTCACCCATCATGCTCATCTCGAACTCGTTCTGCATGCACTTTGAAAAATCATTGCAAAGTACTTCATTAGAGGATCCAAATGTTATATTATCCACATAAATTTGAACAATTAAAAAATCTTTACCCTCTCTCTTAATAAACAGTGTTGTATCAACCTTACCTTTCATGAAATTATTCTGCAAAAGGAAATTACTTAACCTTTCATACCAAGTACATGGTGTTTGTTCAGACCATACAGTGCCTTTTTAAGCTTGTAGACATAGTCAGACTTTCTTAGTTCTTCAAAGCTAGGGGGTTGTTCTACATATACCTCTTCTTTGATGTAACCATTCAGGAATGCACTTTTCACGTCCACCTGAAACAATTTAAAGTTATGAAAATAAGCATAAGCTAAAAGTAGCCTTATGACTTCTAACCTGGCAACCGGTGCATAGGTTTCATCATAGTCTATGCCTTCTTCTTGTGAATATCCTTTTGCTACAAGTCTTGCTTTGTTTCTTGTGACTTTTCCTTTGTCATCCAGTTTATTTCTGAATACCCATTTGGTTCCAATTACTAGATGATTCTTAGGTCTTGGCACAAGTTCCCATACTTCATTGATTTTGAATGGGATATGTTCACCAGAAGTCCTAAAACTTGTCACAAAAGTTCAATTGAGTCCTAAAACTTGCAAAAAGTGCAAACAAGTCCTAAAACTTGTCAAATTGGTTCAATCGAGTCCTAAAGTTAACACCGTCAAATTTACTAATGGAAAATGCTGACGTGGCTTATTTTAATCATTTCTCTCTCCTACGTGGCAACTAGGTCAAGGAAATTCCTCCACGTCAACAAAACGACGTCGTTTTGGATGATTTACATATCCAAAAACGACGATGTCTCCTCTACTTCCTCATGTTTACAGTTGCGTTCTCCTTCTTCCCAAATCGACTTCTTTGAAACCCTAAGCCCTTCATGGTGGACGCAAATCGCGATCTGCTCCGCTTGCGAGTTGGAGCACCATCCCCATGGTGATTTTGGAGCTCGGCGCCCCATGGTGATTTTGGAGCTCGGCGCCCATTGCAAGTGGAAGCTCTCATCTTCGTCAAACGCGGGTACGTGCAAAAACTCGTTCCGTGGGAGCCTCGATGGCGGATCGAGCGACATCGACGATGGAGACGGCCACTATCTCTAAGCCTCTCTCCTCCTCGTCGCAGGTATCCTCGCTGCGTCTGTGCTGTTGTTTGCATTTTCATTGTCGATTCTACCGTAGCTTGTTGATTCGAAAAATTATTGAGAGGAGGTTTTGTGCAAAAACATCCGAACCCAGAATTAGTGTATAAAAGTGTGTCTTTGCTTTGCTCTCTCACCTTTTCCATTCGATTTTTCTTCTTCCCTTCGTTACTTTTTTTTGCGCTTCTTTTGTTGCTCAAGATATGCTCTCTGTGGGGTCATCATGCATTGCAGTGGAGAGACTGAGAAAAGAGTATAGATGAATTGTTTCGATCCTTCAATTGTTAACGATTCCCGTTGATCGACTGGTTTGATTGGAAAGTTGCGATGTAATTGAAAAAAAAAAAAGAAGCGAAATTTGTTACATTTGCGTGGCTTTTTTTCCCTAATTCAACATGTGAAGTTACTATGAAATTTGTTCGAGGTAGATGTGATATTATTGTAGATTGCTGCCCTCTCATGTTTTATGGTAGCGCACATGTTTTACTGCAGATTTCCCCAATAGCATATATGATTCTGCCAATTGAACATGTCAAGTTAGCTTAATCTTTTGCTTAAACTAATAATGATCGGTATTGTGATATCTAGTGACCCAATTCAGCATGTCAAGTTAGCTTGATTTCAGTTGCTTGTCTTTGGAATGAATTTATTAGGTATTGGAGGGCTGACACTCATCCGTCAACATGGTTCCATAGAAAACATAATAGAAAGCATTGGAATTTTAGTGTGGCTCTTAGGTTTGCTGGTGTGTTTATCCTACCCATGTCCTTTTACAGCTGAAATCATTAGTAGCTTTTCGTTAAAATTTGATGATTGAAAGTACTATTTGTTTTTGTTTCCTTGTAGGTCCAATGGCCGAGGACAAAGTTTATGTCACTGTTTTTCTTGGAGGTAAATTTCAAGTTGGACCGCCCTTGGAATATGTAGGTGGAAGGGTTGATGTTGTTGAAATAGACTTATGTAAGGGCTCATTGTCTAACATAATTGAAGCTGTTGAGGCTTTGAGTGGTCGTAAAATAGAGAAACTCTTTTATAGAGTTCCTGGAAGTAGTATTCTTCAAGATGGGGGTAACTCTTAGATATTTATGGGATAACTCTAGTGTGATAGATTTATTATATCATCATCTTCATTCTGAAAATATTGAATTGTATGTTGAGCATATCGATGATGATGAGACGATTGCTAAGATAAGGCAAGCTGAGATGGAAACTGGAGGTATGTTTGATGTGAATAAGGAAAGTATTGATAATGTGGCTGGTAATGTTTTCGAAAATGTGATTGGGAATGTCGACGATGATAGGAATTGGCTTGAGGTTGGTAATAAGGATCTGGATGAGAGTGATGGTGATGATCCATGTAATTTGGTGGATGTAGAACAGTTAAGTGACAATGATGATTTTGAACTAGTTGATGCAAGGAGAAATTTAAAGGAATTTTCAGCGACACATAGGCTCAAAACTGGAACTAACATTGCAGCAACTTCCCAATTAGATGTTGGCTCTCCAATAGAGTTAGCAGCTGATCCTTTGATAGTTGATGCTTCTGGATACGAAACGGAGTACTATCATTCAGACGATGAAGAAAGTCTTCATTCAGGTTTAAATAATGAGGGTGAGGAGGAAGAAGATCATGGTGTTTCAAGGATGAGGAGTAGGTTTCCATCATATGATCGAAATGGTAAGAATCCAGTATTTGTTGTTGGCATGACATTTGGGGATGCAATTGAGTTCAAAGATGCAATTTTAAGGTACTCTGTGACTGAGCAAAGAGCAATTAAATACACAAAAAACACTACTAAATTTGTAAGAGCCAGGTGTGCCCAGACCAATTGTAACTGGATGATATATGGTGCTCTTGACAGAAACACTGGATCATTCCATTTGAAAAAGTACATGGATGAGCATATATGTAGTATCACTTTCGAGAATAAGAGAGTGTCAAGTACTTATTTAGCTAAACACTTCATGATTCTCATTTCTGCAATGCCTAAAATCAAAGCACCTCAGTTGAAGAAACTAGTTAGAGAACAGTTGGGAGTGAATGTCACTTTGGGTCAATGCAGGAGAACAAAGCTAAAAGTGTTCAAGGAATTACAAGGCAATTATAAGAAGGAGTATGCACAGATGTACGACTACTTAGGAGAGCTCTACACTGCAAGCCCCGAGAGCACATTTAAAATGAAAGTTGAAAGGCCACTGCCAAATTCTCTACCATTATTTGACAGGGCTTACATTTGCTTTGATGCCTGCCGGAAAGGATTTTTGGCAGGATGTCGGAAAATCATTGGACTAGATGGGTGTTTCCTTAGAGGCTTGATCAAAGGTGAGTTGTTGTGTGCCGTAGGCAGGGATGCTAACAACCAAATGTATCCAGTGGCATGGGCAGTTGTAAGAATTGAGAATAAGGACACATAGACCTGGTTAATTGACTTGTTGAAGGAAGACCTCGACATGGGTAATGGCAATGGTTGGGCTTTAATCAGCGACCAACAAAAGGTATGCAATACTATTATCACTCATCTTGAATTTGTTTGTGACAATGTATGTTTTGCGACAATACTATTATTAGTATTAATGTTTTGCTTTTTTTTTTTTTGTATTTGTCAGGGTCTCATCCCTTCAGTAGTTGAACTTTTGCCAAATGCAGAACATATATTCTAATTGGGGTCAAAAATACAAAGGAAAGCAATTGATGAGACAATTTTGGAAATGTGCTAAAAGTACTAATATGGCAGATTTTGAGGTGCATAGACGAGGGTTGAAGGAAATGACTCCACAAGGTCATGATGATCTATTCCATACTGAGCCAAAACACTGGTGTAAAGCCTTCTTTGACACCAACATAAAATGTGATGTTGTTGATAATAATCTTAGTGAAGCTTTCAATGGTAGGTGTGTGGAAGCTAGGTGCAAGGCCATCGTGAGTATGCTGGAGGATATTAGAATCATGGTTATGAGTAGAATGCACGGTCAGAGGGATGCATGTGCTAAGTGGACAAGAAATTATGGTCCAAGGATTGTGCATAAGTTACATCAGAATACAACTGCTAGTAGATATTGCCACTTGATATGGAATGGAGATCAAGGATACGAGATTATGGAAGGTGGTGACAAATATGTTGTGGACTTGAATTTGAAAACTTGTTCTTGTAGAGCTTGGGAAGTTAGTGGAATTCCGTGTTGCCATGCCATCTGTGCAATACACCACAAGCAAAATGATCCGGGTGACTACCTAGCTGAGTGCTTCTACATTGAAAAATACCTAAGTGCTTATCAATTCATGATGCCTACTGTGAGAGGACAAAAATTTTGGGACAAAACCAACAAAGAAGCTCCTCAGCCCCTACCAATTAAAAAGATGCCCGGTAGGCCAAAAAGAAACAGAAGAAAGCAACCAATTGAGCTTGTAAAAGACAACAGAATGACTAAAGAGGGTAAGCGAATGACTTGTTCTACCTGTAATGTGGTTGGACATAACTGCAGGGGATGTCCTCTAAAAAAGGTATTTCTTCGATTAATTGGTCATGTTGATTTTCAGTTTGTTGTCTTGTCATTAATGCTTACTATGTGCTTTTTAGGCCAATGTATGTACATCTAATGCTTATGCTAATACACCTGGAGCTGAACCTTATGTTCAATCTCAAGCCAATTCCATTGGATCAAGACCCAAAAAAAGACAAGTAAGTTGAGGTAAAATCATGTATTGTACGTTTAAAAAGTGAAGGTTTCAATTTAATGATGATGAATATGTATTCAGGCTAAAGCTATAGCAACAACAAGTACAACTGCTGAAGGAGGATCTAAAGGCCAAGCCACTGCTTCTGTAGATTACAGTTCACCTATACAAGATAATAGTAGGCAAGCTAATGCTTCTGCAGAAGCCAGTACACTTGTACAAGATAATAGTGGGCAAGCCAATGCTTCTGCAGAAGCCAGTACACGTGTACAAGATAATCGTGGGCAAGCCAATGCTTCTACAGAAACCAGTACACCTGTACAAAATAAAGATAATAGTGGGTAAGCCAATGCTTCTACAGAAGCTAGTACACTTGTACAAGATAATAGTGGGCATACTGATGCTTTTGCTCAGTCTAGTGTAGATATAAGAGGATGCAGGGCTAGTGCTAATGTAAGTGGATGTAGTGGACAGGCCAATGCTTCTGCTGAAGCCAGTGTTGATCAATGACATGGATATTTTTGTGCTCAAGCCAATGCAATAGCTCATGATAGACCTCAAAAAATCCCAGTGAGTAATACCTCACTTGTGTTGATCAACAACATACCACTGTAATTCATGTGTTGTAACTACATTCTCATGTCTGTTGTTTTTGTTTTTTCAGTTTAAACGTCCAGCAATTGAAATGAAAATGATGCAAGGACAACCGCAACTGAAGAAGAAGAAAATGGTAGGGTTGGGTGTTCACACAAATCCTAGGACAAACCTTCAAATTCCCAATGTGAGTAATGTTTTCACATTATATAATAGCAACTGATTGTCTCCTTGAGCTAAAACCATGTCCATTCTTATGTAGCCTCGCACAACTGGTGCAACATTATTGAAACTACCCGACAAAGGAGTAGTTTCAGGAGTTTCAATGGAAAAGGAACATCCCCAAGCCAGTGTACAGCCTCATTCATTGGGAAGTTCTCCTCAAAAGCATGTTATGGTGAAGCCAAAGCCACCATCACAATCCCAAGTGAGTTCCCAGCCTCAGTCATTAAGAATTCCTCGAAAGCATGTTGCTGTAAAGCCAATGACACCAGCACAACCCCAGGTGAGTTCCCAGCCTCAATCATCAAGAATTCCTCGAAAGCATGTTGCTATAAAGCCAATGGCACCATCACAACCCCAGGTTAGTTCCCAGCCTCAATCATCAAGAATTCCTCGCAAGCATGTTGCTGTAAAGCCAAAACCACGATCACAACCGCAAGGGAATTCTCAGCCTTCATCTCATGCTACAACAGCTCCTCCAAAGCCTATTGTTTGGAAGAGAGTCACAGGAGGTAGACCATATACAAGGAAAATCTCAAGACTTATGAATCAAGTGCACGCCGAACCTGCTGGACCACCAGAGACAATAGACTTGGATTGATGTATTTGCTGAACATGGTTGTTTTAATGTCATATATGAGCTAGTTTTTTTGTATGAGACAAATATGTTTGTTTAGTGGCTAAAGTTAATGTTGTATCCCAAATTGGAACTAAGCATATTGAATTTCAAGGAATTATTTTGACAAATGTCTTCATCTTGATAGGTTTTTGAAATTCTTGCGTAAAACGTATATGACATTGCAATGATGGAACATTTGAACATCTTAATTCAGATTTACATTCACTAAACGAAAGTTTTAAGTTCCAGTTCTGGTGCTGGGTGGGATATCAACTAAGTATCAATATCAACTAAGTATCAATATCATTACAAAACAACCATGTGAAAGAAAACGTTGAGCTCGCTGACCAAGTTATAACAGAAGCACTCCATCTAAGGCCTCTCTTGTATAAAACAATTCGACGTATAGGAAACATATAGCCACCACAAGAAATTAAAACGCACGAGCGAATTAAGCTTCTTTACATTTCCACGCAACGTGAGTTTCCCAATTTTACAGGAAAAAAGAGGATCGCGATAAAGTAATTGAATACAAACTTAGAAACAACATACTATGGAAGACTTAGAAACTTCCCACTAACTTTCACGTTACATATAACCAATATAATGATACAACACATGCATAAAACAAATAACAATTGATATAGCATCTTTTCTTGCTTTACTCGTGCGAGCTCCTCTTTTAAACGTCTATGTTTTGCCCTTTGCGTCTTCATTTCAGCTATCAGTGAGCTCACATCAACCTCGTCGCACCTCGATTGGCTTGATTCGCATAGTGCTTGATTTCTTTCAAGGAGGTCGACTATCATGTCCCTCGCTCGATCCGGTATCTTCGGGTCAACCCACATGAAGAAATCGCAGCAACCAGGACTATCAAACTTAGCACATCCATAAAACCTTCTTCCTGCGTTTTTCCTTGTCTTTGCAGTAAGAAGTGGTGATTGAAGACCACAATAGCAGGTTGGCTCCGACTCGACCTCATTAAGAGTTACACCACTTGATTTAGATTTTGATGCCCTCATTCTTCTTGTCGCCATATTAACAAAGCATAATAAAGCTCAAACCAGCAAAACCTACATCGCAAGAGAATAAAAGCAAGTATAACAAAATCTGCTGCAGCACAACCCATTTAGGAAGCACAACCCATATTAACAACATTCAACTTATTACCAATTTAGAATCTGCTGCAGCAAAAAACAATTTAGGAAGCCAATCCAGCACATCCCATTTACACTACCATAAAAATGTATAACGAAATCTGCAATAATATCACATTTATCTCGAATGCATTCACAATAATCACATCTAGAGAATGCAACTGAAATCAAGCTAACTTGACATGCTGAATTGGGTCACCAGATATCACAATACCGATCATTATTAGTTTAAGCAAAAGATTAAGCTAACTTGACATGTTCAATTGGCAGAATCATATACGCTATTGGGGAAATCTGCAGTAAAACATGTGCGCTACCATAAAACATGAGAGGGCAGCAATCTACAATAATATCACATCTACCTCGAACAAATTTCACAGTAACTTCACATGTTGAATTAGGGAAAAAAAGCCACGCAAATGTAACAAATTTCGCTTCTTTTTTTTTTTTCAATTACATCGCAACTTTCCAATCAAACCAGTCGATCAACGGGAATCGTTAACAATTGAAGGATCGAAACAATTCATCTATACTCTTTTCTCAGTCTCTCCACTGCAATGCATGATGACCCCACAGAGAGCATATCTTGAGCAACAAAAGAAGCGCAAAAAAAAGTAACGAAGGGAAGAAGAAAAATTGAATGGAAAAGGTGAGAGAGCAAAGCAAAGACACACTTTTATACACTAATTCTGGGTTCGGATGTTTTTGCACAAAACCTCCTCTCAATAATTTTCCGAATCAACAAGCTACGGTAGAATCGACAATGAAAATGCAAACAGCAGCACAGACGCAGCGAGGATACCTGCGACGAGGAGGAGAGAGGCTTAGAGATAGTGGCCGTCTCCATCGTCGACGCCGCTTGATCCGCCGTCGAGGCTCCCACGGAACGAGTTTTTGCACGTACCCGCGTTTGACGAAGATGAGAGCTTCCACTTGCAATGGGCGCCGAGCTCCAAAATCACCATGGGGATGGTGCTCCAACTCGCAAGCGGAGCAGATCGCGATTTGCGTCCACCATGAAAGACTTAGGGTTTCAAAGAAGTCGATTTGGGAAGAAGGAGAACGCAACTACAAACGTGAGGAAGTAGAGGAGACATCGTCGTTTTTGGATATGTAAATCATCCAAAACGACGTCGTTTTGTTGACGTGGAGGAATTTCCTTGACCTAGTTGCCACGTAGGAGAGAGAAATGATTAAAATAAGCCACGTCAGCGCCACGTCAGCATTTTCCGTTAGTAAATTTGACGGTGTTAACTTTAGGACTCGACTGAACCAATTTGACAAGTTTTAGGACTTGTTTGCATTTTTTGCAAGTTTTAGGACTCAATTGAACTTTTGTGACAAGTTTTAGGACTTCTGGTGAACATATCCCATTTTGAATTAATGAAGTTCTTCATGCATTGCTTCTATCCAGCTTTCGTTTATAAGTGCTTCATCAATTCCTTTTGGTTTTATCTTTGATATCAATGTCAAGGTTCTAATGTTTTCCTTGTATTTAGATCTAGTTTTAATGCCATCTTCTATTTCTCCAATGATGAGATCTTTTGGATGACTAGATTTATGTTTCTAGTTTCTGTTGAATCTTTCCTTCTGAGCACCATCAGATTCCAAAGATTCTGTTTGTATGATTGATGAATCTTCTGTTTTTTTCTTCAACAGGTTCAATGATCTTTAGAGATTCTTGTTGAGCTTCAAACATCTCTTGAACATTGTGAGATGGTTCAAATTCATCTTTTTGAGTCCGAACGTTTTCATCAAATCTCACGTTCATTGTTTCCTCCACAGTATGAGAGTTTTTGTTGAAAACTCTATATGCCTTGCTTGTTGTGGGGTATCCAAAGAAAAATCATTCATCTGCTTTCTCATCAAACTTTTCAGAGTGATCATTTGGATTTTTGAGTATAAAGCATTTATAACCAAACACGCGCAAGTATGAAATGTTGGGTTTTCTACCTTTATAAAGTTCATAGGGGGTTTTGTCAAGAATAGGTCGTAGAAAGACTCTGTTGATAATATAACAAGCTGTAGAGACTACTTCTACCCAAAAATGATAAGGAATCTTGCTTTCAATAAAAAGAGTTTTTGCCATTTCTTGCAAAGAACGATTTTTCCTTTTCATAACACCATTCTGTTCTAGTGTATAAGGAGTAGAAAAATTGTGTTGAAAGCCATTTTCCTCACAAAAATCTGAAAAACTTTGATTTTCAAATTCTCCCCCATGATCAGTTTTGATAATGGAAATAGTATAACCCTTTTTATTTTGAACTCTTTTTGCAAATTTTGAAAAATATGAAAGGGCTTCATTTTTGTGAGTAAGAAAGAATACCCAAGTGAATCTAGTAAAATCATTAACAATAACTAAACAATACTTATTACCATCAATACTTTGAGTTCTGGTTGGTCCAAATAGATCCATATGTAGAAGCTGCAAAGCACGATTAGTAGAAACATGATGTATTGACTTAAAAGAGCTTTCGACCTGTTTCCCTAAGGTGCAAGCTGTGCACAATTATGTTTTCTTGTATTTCAAACTTGGCAGACCTCGATCAAGTTTTTTGTTTAAGATCTCTGAAATTTGTTTCATGCCGATGTGCCCCAACCTTCTATGCCATAGGTCTTCATCTTCCTTGATAGAAATTAAGCATTGAGTAGAATAAGAATTTACGTCCAGAAGATAGATATTACCATGTCTTCGTTCTGTGAAGGTTTGAGAAAGGTCGTTGCTAGAGCCAGAACATATGTTTTCTTGGAAGCTTATTTTAAAGCCTATGTCACATAGTTGACTTATGCTGATCAGATTGTAATTGAGACCTTTTACCAATGAAACATCATTGATAGTAAGTCTTCCAATCTCAACGGTTCCTTTTTCAATAATTTTTCCTTTATTATTTCCTCCAAAGGAAACACTTCCACTATTTAGACTTTGAAATTTGATAAACATACTTGGATCTCCTGTCATATGTCTTGAACAGCCACTGTCCAAGTACCATTTTCTTTTTCTCTTGCTGGTAACCTGTAAAAATCATATACACTTAAGCTTTCTTTGGTTCCCAGATTTGTTTGGATCATTGAGAGTTAGTAGTATAGGCTATTTTTACAAAGTTTCTCCGAATCGGTCTCCAGACCTTAGGACAATTATTCTCAAAGTGCTGTGGATCTCCACATTTTGCGCACTTGAGTGCACTTCGATCAACAGGTTTTACAAAATTCCTTTGAAAGTGATTTTTGTAAACTTTTCTAGGAGGTCTTTGCCTTAATCTCTCCTTAACTTTTGAAAAATCAATCAAATGATCACTTTCCTTAACAAAACCAAGTTCTGAATTGTTGTAATAAGGAATTTGAATGGAAAGTATATATTCCAACGTTTTTGAACCATTTAAAAATTTGGAAGTAATATCAGAAAACTTCCTTTTCAAAACAGAATTTTCTTCGGCAAGTAAATCTCAATTTTCCTTGATTTGATGAAGTTCCTTTTGCAGAAAATCGATTTTGTCCTTTTGAAAAATATCCTATTGTCTCAGCACTGAATTCTCCTTTTTTAGTTCGGAGATTCTCTTAAGAGTAGCCTTAAATTTGGAGCATAATTCATCAATATAATTTAACACTTCAATTGGAATTTCAGGATACTTTACCTCGATTTCAATTTCAGTGTCAGAATCTGAGTCTAAACTTGAATCTGAGTCTGAATATGACTTGGCCATTAAACAGAAGTTTGCAATGTTTTCATCACTGTCTTCACATTCTGTATCACTCCAAGTTTCTGCTTTCAAGGCTTTTTTTGCTTTTTCATATTTGCTCTTCTTTTTCTTTAAGAGTAGACAGTTTGGTTTGATATGTCTACGCTTCTTGCAATGGAAGCAAATTACTTTCTTTGATTTTTCTGTCTCATCAGGGATCTTCCTTTTCTCAAATGGCTTCTTCCCTTTGAAGTTTCTTCCTTTCTTTTTCATTCTTTTGTACTTTTTTTTAATGAAAAGAGCCAGTTTTTCATCATCAACATCCTCTTCTTCTGAATCTGCATCATCGGAATCAACTTTAGATTTTAAGGCAATTAACTTCTTACCTCTGGATTTATTCTCCCCATTCAGTTATTCAGCTTCATATGATTGAAGAGTTCCAATAAGTTCATTCACTAAAAGAGATGTCACGCCCCGAACCCTACGGCGCGCGAGCATCCCAACCAAGGTCGATTCAGTGCGACGTCCCAGAACGCATCGCCGACCCAACGCCCAACACAGAGAACAATGCACAAGCGGAAGCAAACAAACACCCGTACAAATTATAAACCACATGACCAGGGATAGCAGCAATACCATGAATACAACTTGCACTAACATCGGGAAACATATACAATATTCATTTACACCCAAAATATACACCGCCAATCAAAAACGGGTCAGTGGCCACTACTAGCAAAAAGGGGTAAGTGGCCCGGGCGATCGGGGGTACTAAAACTAGGTGGGGCTCCCGTCAAAAAGGTACTGGCCCGACCTATCTAAGACTAAGGCTAAACCCTACGGAACCCAGTCCGGGTCGGATCTCGAGGACTCAGAGGAACTATCAGACAGCTCGACCTCGGAGTCTAGGGAATCCAGCTCGGACTCGGCCTCTGCCGGCTCCTCCTCAGAATCCATCTCCTCAGACTCGCCCTCCAGCTCGGGGTCCTGATCTATAGGCTCTGGCTCCTCATCCGACTCCATCGGCTCCGGGTCAGAGTCCCAATCCACCGGCTTCTCGTCCATCAGGTCAAACTCGTCAACCTCCCAGATAACAGGCTGGCGGCCAGAACTAGGACTCCCCTCGGACGTGTACTCGGGGCTCGCCAGGTCTCCATCCTGACACTGGGGGTCTACCTCACCTAGCCCGTTGAACGGGACGTTAAAAGTCCTGAGGGGCCCGAACGTCCTAGAGTAGTCTCTGAAACACCAGGCTATATACTCGTGGGCTTGAAAATGCTGCGTGCCCACGTCGACCCATACTGCGGTAAAGTGCCTAATATATGTATCCTCGTTCCCTACGGGGTACTCGGTCACGTCCCGATCTATCCGAGACGGAATCCCAAAACGTATAGGTACCTCAGACATCTTTAGGGCCGGGGGTCTGAAAAGTTGGGTTTTAACAACAATGAGAACGAATCTCAGCGAGTAAAACCCCATAAACCTAAACTAGGCTAACATGCACCTCCTGACAGGCAAATATACAGATACAACCAGTAATAATCGACAATCAATTGACCTAGGCCCTCGGGCCCAGATCGAGAATACAACGACCCTCAGGTTAAACAGTTCATAGTAATACTCATGGCACATACGCGAACACACTTAGTCACCCGTACGCCATGCACATGCTCATGCTCATTAATGCCTGCATTGCATGCTTGCCAATGTACTCTTGCACACATATGCCATCAATATGTTCATGCTCATGATCTGGCTCAAATATGCACACTGGCACATGGCTCAACTTCTCATTTAAAGCTCGACCCGCGTAAAACGCATCAGGTCTGACCCGCGTAAAACGCATCAGGTCTATTCATATCCAACACTTCCTGGCCCGCATAAAACGCATCAGGCCCAGTGTCTCTAGCCCGCGTAAAACGCATCAGGCGCAACACCGATCTCCATATACGAATCGAAACCCGCGTAAGACGCATCAGGTTGGCCTTCTTCCGGCAATCCGGGCATCGTCCCACGTAAAACGCATCAGGACGGTTTCAATACCCCGCGTAACACGCATCAGGGCTTTATGTGATCACACGTGCACACAGCCAATTTTATCTGAACCCCGCGTAAAATGCATCAGGGCGATTAATTGATCACATGCTCATGCCAGGCATGCATACTCGCACAATTCTCATATTATGCCAATGCTCAGCTTACGAAATGCGTGGCCATGCACAATGAGCACTCGATTTCACATAGGCACATAATCAAATCACGCCAAGTCATGCTCAACAAATGTCACGACGTGCCCTAGCAACGATTCGACATGTTCAATTTCGTCATCATGTGCCCAATTAACATACTAGCATGCCCAATCAAGCAATCCAATTCAATCTTGCACGGCACATAAATTTCATGCGATTAGAACAATCCAA